TATCCAAAAAACAATTCAGCTAAAAACTCAATCCGAAAGGTTGTCAAATGATTTTTGGAAGTTAACTGCGTTTTATATGTATTTTTTGCGCAGTTAACTTCAAAAAATTATTTGACGTTATATATATATATATATATATATATATATATATATATATATATATATATATATATATATATATATATATATATATATATATATATATATATATATATATATATATATATATTTAAAAGGAGGTTCAAATATAAAGTATTCCTCATATGAATGAGGAAAACAATGAGAAGTATGCTTAACCATTAAAATGAGAAAATAAGTGGATCCGATCAATTTTAAAGTGAAAAACACGGTGGTAAAAGTGAAAATAGTAGAAAAAGAAATTGCCTCATATAGGACTAAATACTTCTTAAAATTCCTAAATAGGATCTCCTAGGTTTCTTTCCCTTAATAGGATCATATTAATCCTATATTGAATCATACGGTTGACACTGGTACAGATTTGCCCCTGCTTATGTACGCATAACCGTTTCCCCCTTTAACGCTAACATATGTACGGTCATCAGTTTAGCCCTTTAGCGCATAACCGTTTCCCCCTTTACCGCTAACATACGTTCAATCACTTTACCCTCCCATGGTTTTACGCTGCTGATTATTATCTTGATACGTACGTGCGTTTCAACGATCATTCCATATCTCATCTTTTTCCCTGTTTGTCATAATTGACGATGAAGAACATTTCGTGAGGTCAAACACATTCTGCAATTGTTCTGGTAATAAGCAACTCCTGCGATTATCAGTTTCTTCATGTTTTAGAACTAGTTCACGACATTATTCTTGTTTTTAATGTGTTTATTGTTAATCATCATTGTTATATAATTCGAAACCGACAATCATGTACCATGTTTGTGTTGAAATCTGTATAGTATGGTCCTAGGTATGCAGCTATGATCTTATTGTTCATGGTTTTACTCATTAACATCATAGAACTTAATTATGGCTATGATGCTCTGTTTGGTGTATTCGGATGGAATAAATGACAAAATCTTGGCATAATATTTATTCAGAGTTGTCATACTCTTGTTCATTTTATTTGACCAATTTATATTCCTTTATCTAGTTACCCATATGGATTGTATTGTACCGGTTATGTTGAAGTTGGGTGGAAGTTGGACCAATGACTATAGCTTCAACAGTAACCCGATCTTCGCTATTCAAGTTCTTTATTCATCTACATACAAAGACTTTATAGAACAACTTTCTTCCATGTTAAGTGATTACTACAATGCAACAAATCACTTCAAGTTATCTTATATGGTTGATGGTTTCCCTCCACCTGTACATATCAATGATGAAGACACTTTTCGGTTTTTCCTTAACCTTAAGGTTCTTCATACTGATTTGAGCAAGTACCCCTTATGTTTGGAGTTTTCAACTGATATTTCTAAGCCTTGCACAGTGCCAACAATGGAAAATACCATACCTGAGATTTCCCCCTCATCATCCCAAGTTTCTTTTATAGAACATGACAATATTAGTGGGCTGAATTCTGAATCTAACTCTTACACCCTTGTTCGTCATGAATCCAATGTCTCACCGCGGTCACAAAGTCCCAACAGAATCAATGATGACCTATGTCATAGTCCATGGTCTGATGTGAGTCCTTGTCAGTCACCTCCTACTCGTTTAATTCCTACCGAGTCATCTTCCTTCCATCATAATGTGGAAGTTATCACCCATTATCATCCCACTCAGATCACGAAACATGCCATATACAACCGTAAATATGACTTCAATCACCATTTGAGGTTGTATGCGATTGATAATGGATTTCAATATCAAACACGTACATCCAAGAAAACTGTTTTGCATGTTGTTTGTTGTGATGAGAAATGAAAATGGGCTGTCAGGGGTGTGAAGTTACGTGGTGTGCAAATGTTTCAGATTAGAAGGTATGTTCCGATTTTATCTGTATTTTACCATTCTGAATGTCTTATAATCTGCCACATTTTTGACATTTCTGCCAATGCTGCACATATGGTTTGCAGGTTTGACTCTACACATACATGCTCCATGGACTTTAGGCAAGGAAAGCATAGACAAGCAACATATCGCACCATTGCTGAGCTAATCTCCCATTAATTTTTGGATGCTTCAAGGAAACCGTATGTACCAAAACAAATTCGGGAAGAAATGAGTGTGGCTCATGGCATTTCCATGTCATATAAGAAATCATGGAAAGCTCAAAAGGTAGCCATGCAAAGGCAATTTGGATCTGATCTAGAGTCGTATCAGAAACTACCTTCCATGGCTTATATTCTAGAAAAGACAAATCCAAATTCTGCAATTTCTCTAATAATTGGTGACGAGGATGAGTTTCGTTACTTTTTTATGTCTCTTTCACCTTGGCGGAAAGCATGGGATTTTTGCAAACCAGTTTTAATCGTTGATGGGTCATTTATGAAGGCGTACTATAAGGGGACACTACTAACAACTTGCGCCCAAGACGCTAACGGTCATATTGTACCTTTAGCGTTTGGAATTTGTGATTCCGAATCTAAAGCTTCATGGAATTGGTTTTTGAGCCAAGTTCGTGGATCTATAACCTTCTGATCTGATATGTTTATCATATCAGATAGACATGAAGGTATTCGTAGTGCTGTTAAAGATATTTTCCCTCATGCTCTTCATGGATATTGTGTTGAGCACCTTAGGCGAAACATGGTTCCAAAGTTCAGGGGTGCTGGTAAGAATTTAGGTTGTAAGTTCAAGGCTGCATATATGGTTCTCACACCTAAGGAGTTTGAGGAATATATGTCCTTGTTGGATTCTGAAGATGTTCGTATACGACCTTGGCTTGAAAAGATTGGCTTAGAAAAGTGGGCTAAGTGCATGTCAGGTCCGAGGAGGTATGATGTCATGACTTCCAACTGTGCTGAATCTATGAACAACGTTAATGTCTTTGCAAGGGAGTATTCTATATCAAAACTGATTGATTTCTTGAGGGAAAGCATGCAGCAATAGTTCACCGAAAGGAAGGAAAGCGCTGAAAAAACACGCACAATTCTGGCACCCACACGTGAGAAGCATTTGGTGACCCTTCAAGGACAAGCTTGCAGGATGCAGGTAACTTGCTATTCGTGCATTTTGTAGTTAATTAGTTTATGTTCTTCAAAGAAGCATTTTCTTTCACATCAGTTTTTTGGATTTGGCAAATTTTCCAAAATAAATGGCATTCACTGTACAAGTTTCATTATTCTTCCATGTTTTCCAGATTATTTCTAACACCTTATTGGTGTAAATTTCCATCTGTTGACTTTTACTAATTTTTAATATTATAAAACACTACAGGTCAAGCCAGCATCTTATACAGAGTTTGAAGTGGTGGATAGGCATTGTCGGTCCTTTGTAGTTGATCTTAATTCTAAGACATGCAGTTGCGGGGAGTTTCAATTATCTCATTTCGTTTGTGTCCATGCTGTTTCTGCTATTGCTACCCGCCCAACCATGTCATGCTATGATTATATATCCCCATATTATACGCGTGATTATTGGTTGTCCACCTGGAGTGCTGTCATGCACCCTATATGTGATGTAGATTCTTGGTCGGTTCCTCGTGATGTTTTGAATCTTCGCTGCAAGCCGCCTTCATGTCTAAAAAGACCACCTGGCCGTCCAAAAAAGTCAAGAATTCCATCAATTGGTGAACATCACAGAACCAAGCGTCAGAAATGCTCCCGTTGTCATGCTTTTGGACACAACAAGAAAACCTGCCGCAATCCACTGCCCATATTAAATGATTGATGTATTTTTTAAGTTTACTTATTTAAAAATCTATTATTATGTTTTCATCCTTTACAAATGTCCACGTTCATTAACTACATTAATGCACAATTTTTTGCCACTATTTCAATTGACTATTTTTTATTATGTGTTGTTTTCAATTTCACTGTAATACCATGTGTCTTGCAATTGTTTTGTTGCATATCATAATTGCACTTGCTCCAATTTTAATGTATTTGCCATATACACAATTACCTTAAAACAACCCAAAATGCCAAACATTTGGCATTTATTTCTAAAATGCTAGAATTTTACTTTTTCATTCAATCCGCTACATTCTTATTTACTTCAAAACACAGGCTTATTAAACAGTTTTCAGGTTCTTTTGCCATATCTAAGTACTACAAATTCACACGTTAATTACACAAAAATGGCATTTTATTAATTAAAAACTATTAATGTTAGTTTCTCATTTATGTTCAAGTCATTCTTATCAAGTCCGAAACAAAAATCTTTCCAATAATTTTCAGACGTGTACTAGCGGACTACCTCATTTTGTCATCTTATTAACTACCATTCAATGTCTACAATTGATAAAACTACGCCATTAGATGCATAATTCCCACACTTTATGCGTACATACATGTTTACGTTCTTAATTCTTTTTCAACCTCACTGTCACAAGCTCGTTTAACATGTATCACCCACCAGTTTCCTTCGCATTTGATGTCAACATAACAATAAATCATTCCCAAATCTACAATCTAACACACTGCCATATTATGCCATGTCCAAAAATATTATATATCCCAGAAAATGCCAAATATATGGCATTTTTAGCGTTGCATAACAAATAGTTTGCTGACCAAAACACAAGCCACCAAAAATTCAATCCACCACAACATTATGAATTCAAACTACACTACATCAGTAAACCAAAATACTCTGTCTGCATTTGAGGTCAAACTACTTAAAATAGACAAGAAAAATGTTCACAATGTCAAATTTGATGCAAATTTTGAATAGCAACTACTTTGCTTCTCATCCATCCCTCTCCCATCCTTCACTATTCAATCTTCAAAGTCCTTCCCTTTTTTTTGGCCTCCTGCATCTTCTTGTTGTAGTACAACACCAACTCCGTGGCCATTTTTTTCCTATACATGGGCATGTCCTATGACTTGATATCTTTTATATCTAGTCCCATAATGAAAAACTCGGCCATCATCAATACGTACATGCCACAGTTGCCCCTGCATTAATGCAAGACTATTAGTACTTAATTATTATAGTTGTACATATTAATGTCCAAATTTTAATATTTGTCAGTAAAATAATGTACAGGTAAGATGTTACCCGTCTTCTTGTTGTGGGCAGTCCTCCACAGCCTCCAACTCCAACACTTTGTTTTCCATACGCTCCAACCCAATTTCTTCATAAACCCCATGCACATCCATTATTTTTGGGAGCAAGCGTTGTAAGCTCGAAACATAGGGTCTAATGTCTCTGACACTATCCGCCCTTCTTCTTTTGGAATTGTAAACCCGTATTTTCTTGTTTTTAACGTCCAAAACCAGTAAAACCCAGTGGTTGTTATTGTTAAGAGGTAGGTACACGAAATCACAATCTGCCCAGCCCCTAGAAAATGGTGAAGCACTACCCATAATGTCATCTTCGATGACCGCAATGTTTGCTGCGTCTTGAATCGTTGCCTGCCCTTTTTCTATATTGTCATTCAGCCGTTTCAACATTTGCATAAAAAATGGGCCACTTGTGCTGTAGGGGTAGTTCACCTTGTACTGCACTTGCTTCACATTCAAGTAGTGCATTGCTACAAAAATATGCTGAAAATTTTCCAAAAACAAACAATTCATCAATCTAGCCAAACTAACTGTTATATTTCACATTCAAGTATTACATCCTAACAAACTGTTATATTTCTATAATTATAGTACAAAAACATTACCGTATCATCCAGCCATTCCGGATTGACAAATAGCTTGTATAACCATGTTTTTGATTCTATTTTTGCCACGTCCAAAATAAAAGGTACGCCATGCATGTTGTCCTCTTCTTTGCGGTATTTTCTGCCACCTCCCTCCTTTGTCGGCCGCTTCAATAGTCCAGTTTCAAGAAACTTTTCCACCTTTCTTACTTCTTCTTCCGGTGGATATTGAGATGGGTTTTCAGCAAAAGGCCCATACTTTTTCGCCGGTAAAAATTGGTCCTCTTCACTTCTTTTTGCTCTTTCCTTCCGTCTCCTCTTTGCGACCTCAATATTCCCGGCAGGTGTAAGTCTGTCAGGTGATCTTGCATTTCGCTTAGGTCTTCCAATTGGTGCACATGTCATCTCCACCTGCAGCACACCCAAAGCAAACACGTTGTACAAGTAAGTTTCACTTTTATGGATTTAGAATCACAATTAATTTCCATTTCACATACACTTTTTTCTTTGATCACTTCGGAATCAATGCTTGTACTCCCGTTCCCTTCTCCTACTCGTTGTAAATGCTCGTCTGCAGTTTTCTGTAATTCACAATTCATATTATTTAATCATTAAATTTTAATGTTTTTTTTTCATGTTTTCAAGTATGACTAAAATAAGACTCAAAGCAAAGTGTTACTTACCTCTCCTTTTTGCGTATGCTCCTCTGCAAATTTGTCACCTAATACAAGTTTTTCAACTATATCCACGCTTGTTATCAACTCATTTACAAATTGGGTATTCAAATCTTCCCAAACCTCTTCCTGAATATGCACCCTTCTAGTATCAGTTTCTTGCACACCGCTATTCTGTTCTTGATTTTTTTGTTGTTGGTCCTCCCTTCTTCTTCCATGTTCCCAGCTTTGCTAACTTCTGTTCTATGAGAAGAATCATTACCATCTTTCTCTTCACTTCTGACTAGTCCACCACTATCCTTATGTCCTTGTTCCACTGTTCCTTGCTTTTCAGGTTCTTTCCTCATCTCAAACACAATTCGGTCACTTCCATTTTCTACTTGCACTTCCTGAAATTTTTCTTGTGTCTCTGGACCGAATATGGAAAAACTGGGCACGCTATTGATCACTGGATCATCATCTTCTGCACATGCAGTTTGGTCTTCATCATTCCTTTTTTCTCCTTCTACATTTTCATCACCTTCTTCTGTATTTTGTTTTTCCTTGCTTTGCACCCTAAGCTCCTCAGTCTCTGTCTGCTCATTCTTGGTCATTCTATTCATCGCTTCCAGTAACTGCTTTACCATTTTCTCCTGCCTCTTTTGACTTTTCTTCAATTCTCTTAATTCTGCCATAATCTTGGCATTTTCCTTACTAAGTTTCCTAACCTTCCTCAACGTCAAGTCCAACTTTCTTGCACTTCCAAAACCCACCCTCCCACCATCATCCTCCTCCTTCTCAGATTCCATATCTTCTTCCTTTGCTTTGGTTTTTGATTTTTTTTACAACTTTTGCTGAAACTTTGGTCTTTACATTCTTTTCTTTTTTCTCAAAAACCTTCACCCCATCAACTCTATTAACAATATCAATTCCATCATTGCTACTCCTCTCAGAACTCAACCTTTCATTGGCTAGTAAGTTAGGGAAATGTTCACCTTCCAGATTTGTAGGCTCCATCATTTTCCACTCAAACTGCACACAAAACAATAAAAATACAAAATATTAAAATTTAAAAGCAAATGGTTTGGTATTCAGATTGCAACCTATTAATTAGCAATTCTGTCAGATGTACTACCTGTTCATTCTTGAATATTATTTTGCTCAACAACTCCATTGATGGTTTTTTAATGAATTCCCACTTGACTGCCCTTGGTATTCGAGACTCTCTCCCTTCAATCAACTTGCATATCTCTGCCTTTTCAAGCCCTGTGAAGGTTTCAAATGCCCAAACTTGGATGGCAATCAAACATCCTGGCAGTGTGACTCGTTGCCCTGCGCATTTCTTTAAACTCTTTGAATTGGTCCGCATAATATCTACCAACTCAGTCCAGACATCGTCTCCCCACGGGTAGTCATTGAACCCATCCAAGTTATCAACCAAATTCACATACAATGCTGGTAATTCTCTTGCTACCTGGTTGCCAAAAAGACCACGTGACAGTACATGGAGCAACACAAGCTTCACTTCATCATTTCGTTCTGCTTCAGGGTCCTCGCTATTGTAATTCATTAACGCATTTTGACAATCAGACCTTCTCACCCCGGATTTGTTACCAAAGTATTTTCTCCACAACGTCCCCCTAAAATTATCTTCCATATTTGGTTTCACTCCTCCAAATTTAAGACCTAGAGCCATGCAAAGATCGTCTTTCCTTAAAGTAATCAGACTATTTTCAATATGAAAACGAATGGCACCTGTCTCTTTCATGCCATTTACTTTTTTAACGTAGTTGCAAAGAAATCCCAGTTGAAGCTGACCACTAATTGTACGCATTTCTTCCACATCTAACACCCATCCGAATACACTCTTCCTGAATTCAATGAGTTCCTCCTCTTTTAGTTGGTTCTTTATCCTCTTCACCACCTCCGCCAAACTGCAGTAGCAATTTATCCTCATGCTCTCTACATTTTGCAGTTGATTCCTTCCAAATTTTCTACGTATCACCTAAATTATCACACAACAATACATTTTTCCAATTAACTATGTCCAAAAGGTTGAATCCCCAACCCCAAGGGCCCCCCCACCCCGACCCGACAGGATGGTGGGGGAGTAAATCACGGTGACTCAGTCGGCAAAGTGGAAGTAGGCCTTTACCCGTGCGCACCAGAGGGCCAGCCTTATTTCAGGTTCTGAAAACCCCCTTTTGGCCGCTGCAGGATTCGAACCTTGGTCTACGTCCAATTTTCCCCACCACTCGACCAACTGAGCTACCCGTGCGGGTATTTTTTCCAATTAACTATGGAAGTATACTATGACAAACATCATGTGCATACAGCCAATCAATGCGTCATATGTGGTACAATTACCATTGGAAACAATTAAATACACTATCAATGTTTAATCAAACATCAGTCCATTCTGCCATTTTCCTCTCTATTATTTTCCAAATGTTTGGAAAAAAATAATACAAAACATTCCACAGAAATCCTTTTCTTGTTTACCACTACTATCAAATAGTCCTTTAATTTCATCATTTTGCCATTAAGGTGGAACATATGTACTAATTGACAAAAAACTAGCACCAAACACCCAAACGTTTGTCAAACATCGTGGTCATATGTGGTAGAATTACAATTGGAAACAACTAAAACATCAACATTGTCATAACTACATTTTTCACAATATATACATACACTTTTAGCCATTAAGCTTACTATATGTTTTCATTTTTTTGCCAAAACAAGATTTCCATTCCGTTTCTGCCATTTTTTCTTTGCCACTTTATCCATTCATCCAATTTCTCCTTTCTGCCATTTTCCGCCTTAAATAACAAAGGTTTCACACATATTTGCCATTTATACCGTCACACCAAAATTGCATTCTGCCATATTTCATTCTATGAATTTCCAAATTGTTGGCAATGTCTACTACAAATTAAAACTTCCATTTCTCAGTCCCACGCCATGAAAACATTTGGCTTTGAATTCGTCCTAAATATCAACCCTAAATTAATTATGATGCTCAAATGTTAAACATACCAGTTCTGCTCTACGCCGCTCTCTCTGTCGTCCGGGCGTCTGATTTGCGCCATCTTTACCGGCCATCTTCGCACTTATTCTCCTTCCTTCTTTCTTCTCTTCCAGATTTTTGTCTTCAGTTCTCCTCTTCGAAATTGAAATTTTGCAATGGCGTAACTGGGTAGACTAACTTGGGTAGTTGTGTTTGATACTCGATTGCCGTGCCTTGCGCCGGAAAAATCTTCCATATTAAATACAGCACCTCGTTTCCCTATGTTTTCGCACTCTTTCCGATAACGATGCGGCCCGTTTTTTCCGAAAAACTGCCTTGCGTTAATAGGCGACTAACTAATTGAGGCTAAAAAGGGAAATCACCTCAATTTTAGTCCTACAAAACATGACTCACGTTTTGAGTCCTATTTGTGCACACAAAGGTAGATATAGTCCTATATAGGTAAAAAACTCTAGTAGAAATTGTTGGGGAAAACACGAGCTCAAATGACTCTTGTACACTCACCCACCCATTCGTAACACAAAGACTCAATCTAACAATATCACTTTGTATTATACAATTGAAATGTACAAGAGATATTTACAAGAAAACGGGTAACTCACATCACTCTTTGTATATGAGTCTACTTCACTCTCACACCCCTGTCTCAAGGAGGCACTCACTCACTCAAGGACTCTCCTCAAGGCTCTCTCTCATCACTTGAAGGGGCTCTGACAAGGCTTTCACTCAAGACTCTCTCTAGGCTCTCCCCAAGCTCTCACTAGAATGAAGACTTTCACCCCTACTTATACTACTCTTCTCAAAGCTTCTCTAGAACTTTCTATACATCACTATACTTCTAGATTCTTCCAAGAAGTATCCACAAATTTCTCTAATCTTCTAGAAGGATCTAGGGAACTCCACAGTGCTTTTGAATGTTCTAGAAGCTTCCACACATTTCCGCACGATTCTAGAGAATTCCACACTTCCCTAGAAAACTTCACAATGTTCTAGAATATTCTACACTCTTCCACATGCTTTTAGATAATTCCACGCCTCTCTAGAAAGCTCTAGAATATTCTAGAACACTTGATACTTCTCTACACACATCAAGAGAATTGTAGACATCCCACAGTATTCTAGAATTCTCATTAACTTCTCAATTAAGGAGGGAACCCAACAGAAACATTTAAAAAAATAAAGTGATAAATTGTGCATGACTAGAGAAAAAGCGAATTTGACTAACACAAAAGTGCATCACATTTTGAAGTAAAACAACAAGTATAAAAATCATTTTGTGAGTGTTTTTAATGAAGTGAATGTGCACCTTTACATATTATATGCACTTTTATTACTAAGATTGCACATTTAGGTTTAGTATTTTGTTACAACGATTTTGATCTATTCCATCTAATTTTAAGTGATCCATGATTTGGATCACTTCTTACCTTTTCATGGAAAGACATCTATGTATTAGAATCGAGCCCTATAGACGTGTGTGTAATTATAGTTTACACATCATATATCAACACTTACTAAAGAGTGTTCTCATAAGAATCCTTTCCTGTGAGTGGTTCTAATGAGAACACTTTTTATTGTGCGAAATGAGAACAAGTTTTAATCATACATCTTTGTAAATTAAAGTTCAAAAAGGACTAAGTTGACGGATATACGGTGAGAACACAAATATTTAAAAGATAGACTTGCACTCTCTAATCTCAACATTTAAAAAATCCTTTAAATGTTGAACCTACAAGTGCAAAGAACTAAAAGTGAAAATTTGAAACTTTTCACATTAAACACCCTTTTTTTGAACCGCACCCTATTATAAAGTAAATATTTTAACCCCTCGATGAGGCATATTTATAAATTATAAAGCATGATGAAAAATGATAGTAAAAAATAATGCCTATAATATATAGTCATCTTAACAGACATCATAATTATGACTAAATAATAAAAAAAATATTGTGGGATGGAGTATCAATTAATACATCATCTGCCTCATTTTAAGATTCCCACTTGCCTTTTTAGACATCATAGTTGAAGCTTCCAATTTCTATTTTAGAAAATAATTAGCACTCTTAAATGATAACTTAACCATAAAATATTAAAAATAATACACCTATAATATCACAATTATCATCAATGACCTCATTAAATTTGATATCAATCAAAACAATTTCTTAGAATATACCCGAATAATCTTATTTAGTTTATTACCTTAAGTAACCATGTTATTTTCTTAATGAAAATCTTAAGTTGGAATGGAGATAGTATATCTCTAACGATTACTTGTAACGTAACCATGTGTAATAAACCTTATTGAAATTGCATGATGGTGTGATTAAGGGGGCGATTAGGATATATAATATAATGATTCTCATTCTTAAGATAAAATATGTGTAGGCAGAGGCTCCCATTCATTCAATCCACTCATGATATTTAATTTAGCGTATGTAGCTAATTTAGAGGAATTTCTTTTTGTTTTACGACGGAGCTGAGATACACAAGCTGGTAAGTGCAATTAAACATTTGATGCAACTTATTTAGTTATCCATTTATAGAGAGTTCGTATATGTATAAGCTTTAAACTAATAAATGATGATACATTATTGGCATATGTATTTCATTAGCTAGTGTGGTTTATTCATGAAAATTATTTAATGTGTATATAATGATGAAGGCATGAAGCTCATGGGCAGGAATTAGCACTCTGCTGTTTAGCTTGATTGCCAGCCTTTAAGCAACCTGCATTGATGGCTGGAGTATTGGTTCCCGAGGCTACTCCGTAAGAGTCTAGGCACAGTGGCGCGAGAACTTTTGATCCCGCCGGCTTAAGGTCTATGGCATTCATTGTTAAACCCGAACAGGGCGCGCCCTCACTGCAAGCTAACTGAAGAGCTTGTTGGGTGTATGTTCCGGTTATGCCCTGGTATGTTACGTCTGCCACCTGTACCGCTGCTGTTGAGTTTGCGCATGCCCCGCTTTTGTCACAATAAAACTGATCGATCACGATGCCCGCCTTCACGCCGACACAGTTAATGTTCTTGAACGTCACGCCGTTCACCGTTCCCGACCCGCCCTGCCATGTCTTTATCCTCACACAAGTCATTGTGTTCTTGAGAGTGCAGTCAGTCGCGGTGACGTTTGAAACGCATGCTTTAGTGCCATCCTTACCGAGCCCCCCGATGCTAATTCCATGACCACCATTGGCTGTCACTCTCTGCATATCTATACCGCTGCATCCCGTTTGTATCGATATACATCGTCTCCTGCGCGCGTACAACAATTTATCATCGATCGATTGGAAAAGTCAAAGATGTCTAACTTGTTTGGGCAATTAAGATTTTTTCAATTCGCTCCCATTTCAAGTATAGTTCGAGCAATTAATTAATGCACGCGCGCGCACGCGCACATGCACTTAATAATTTGTTATGTGTATGCAATCTAGCTAGCATGCAGCATTAATTAA